CAGTCTGCTAAGGGGAACTATGGCCTGCTGGACCAGATTCAGGCCCTGCGTTGGCTCAACGAGAACATCGGCCACTTCGGCGGAGACCCAGAGAGGATCACCATCTTCGGCTCTGGAGCTGGGGCCTCCTGCGTGAACCTCCTCATCCTCTCGCACCATTCGGAGGGTAATTGAAGACTCTCTTGCATTGTGTTTGTTTGTTTGTTCTCTTGGTACAGCATCCATTATTCTTGATCTGTCACTTCACCATTCATTTGCTTTTTTCTCTTTCAGTGGAAGCATTAACATACANNAAAACATAACAAAAAAAAAAAAAAATTAAAAGAAACACTCAAAATACCCACAAATTACTCAACTGATGGGTTGAAAACAAACAAAAATTATGTTTGTGTATTTGCTTCTGGAACTACTTGTGTAATGCTAGATAGTACATTTTATGCCTTTATTGAACCTTTGGCTATTTAATGACCCATGTTTTATCCAATTTAAAATGGAATCATAGCAGCAAGGCCCTGCTATACCCATGTGGTCCGATGGAAACTAGCAGCATCCAGCCCAGAAATCAGTATGTCCTATCATGTTCGCTTGACACCTCGATCCTCAAAGGATAACACTTCTTGTCCCGTGAACTGAAGAATTTAAGCAGTCACGTGGCTGATGAGCGAGTCCACGTTTGATCCAGGTTATGTGGTTCATGTCTATGGAGGATAAATGACACTGGAGCTCCAACATTAGCCCACATTACCTGAATCGGCCAGCGCTCCTGGCTCTGTTAACAGTCCACTGCTCTGCAGCAGAGAGGCCGTTGAAAACCTACATCCGTCTGACCTCATGCTCCCCATTACCAACAACACCCCTCGAGGGCTAAGTGTTAACATTGCACTACCAAAAGAGAGAGGCCTACGGACTAATCGACTTTGATCTGAATTGAGATCAGTGTGGCTGACGACCCGCAGCCAAATGGTCACGCACTCGCTGCCTTTGATCATGCTGTTCTTGAAGCTGTCCTCCTCCAATCGTAACTTCTCTGTTCTCAACGCTGCTCGAGGACTCTCCCTCAATATTTCTCTCCTCTATTCATTTTCCGTCTCACACACACAAACTGCAAAGGACAGGAACAGGGAAGAAGTGGTGGGTGAAAAGAAAAAAGAGATTAGGGAGAGTGTGTTCACACAACCACACATCTGTTTCAATCACCTCTCTGTGTATGCGTGTGTGTGTGTTAGTGTCTGAAGCACCGAGCAGATGTCTAACATGTCTCTAACTTTGACTCATTCTGTCTTGTGTAGATGTGCCTTGCGAAGCAATGTGTGTCATCAAAGCTTGAGTGAGCATCTCACTGTGTCCATTTAACACAACCTCTGTCGTTACCACTGATGTCTGTTAACCCTTCATATCAACCCAGGCATACCCAACCTTTTTTCCCTTATTGTTAGGTGACCCACTTAGCGGTTAGAAACTTCCTAAGACCCCAGTTGTTATATATCATGATAACAACGTGCTTATGGCTTGTATAAAGTGTAAATACAAAGCATGTTGACAGTTTGAAATAAAATCTTAAGTAAGTGAACTGTACAAAGGAAAAAACATCAAAGTGCACTCCCTTGTTGAGGATTGGCATCACCTCACTAACAGCACAACCACCTGTTATTCTGAAGAGTAACTCCATGCAAAATCTTGAATAAAGCTAAAGAAGAGTATGGGAAAAGTAAATACCTATGGAGCCAGAGTCAGGATAATTACCCTAGCTTAACATAAAGACAGACTGTAACTATTTCTTGCCAAAGAGCAGTTTATCCATCCCCCTGTGCTGCTGCACTGCGCAGGACATAACTCCCCTTCTCTTTATGCACAGATTAAAAAAACAGATGTTAATTAGTGAACACAAATTTGTGGGTAAGATGTTTTAAACTTCAAGAGGACCAGACTCACTGTTTTCCCCTTCTTCCAGTCCTAATGCTAAGCTAAGCTAAATGGTTGCTGGTTGTAGCTTCGGAACTCGTGAAGAATACATACGTGTAATGTGATACAATATGTTATCAGGGGAAAAAAGGAATGCAATATGGGGGATTTATATAAAAATCTATATTGAAACACAAAAATAGTGACAGTAGTAAATAGTGAGTCAGTTGATCGACTAATAACAGTTGTGGCTCTACCTGTATTTTCATCTTCAGGGTGCTTTTCCTTAGCAGAGCCTCTTGTTAGGTCATTGAGCTGCCAGATCAGCAACTTGCGGGCATCACGCTCCTCCCGGTACTGCAGATACTGGTCAGAGAGTTCCGACTGCAGGTGGTCCACCTGGAGAGGAACGGGAGATGGTTGGGTGGGGGGATGAAATAGTGATAATCTCCCATTAACCTTAGTATCTGAACTGAGTTTCAAACAAAACATTTCTTTGGATAAAGAGATCTCTATCAGTGACCCTTAATATCTTTTCCATACACAGATAAGGAGAGCACATAAAATAAAAACTTAACAGAAGGAATTTAAATGTAAATTTATTATACAAGATGTTTCCCCTAAAAACTCACATAGCGGTTAGAACACTACTTTATAAGTCTGTCATGTACCACTGCCTGCATGGCCTTTTCTCTCTGCCTCATGGCCTCAATGTCCATCTGCAGTTGCTGCTTCTCCCTTTTCAAGGCTCCAATCTCAGCCTGCTCCTCTGCCCAGCGAGCTTGAATCTTCCTGTCACATTCCTCTGTCACCAGCCTCAGATGGGACCGCAGTTGTTCCAGTTCTTGGATTTGATCCTGCTGATGTGCTAAACAGATGATAAGTGCATTCAAATGATCTATCCTGAAACTACCGGGCTAGAACAATTATTTGGTTAAATGGAAAGTAACTGATGCCAATTTGCATACTTAATATATTGCAGAGGTCATTTCATAAGCTTCTCAAACTCAAAGATCTACATGTTTATCTTCATTTCACACACTGTAAATTGAATCTTCTGGGGTTTTTTGTCTGTCTGACAACAAGCTATTTGATGTGTGACTTTGACTGTGATGGGCACTTTTCATTATGTTGAACATTTTAGAGGCTAAATGTCTAATGGATACACAATACAAATAACAAACAAAAAATACCAAAAATAGCGGATGGACAAATCACCAAAAAAATGATAACTGCAGTTCTGCATGAAACATGATCAAAACATGATTCAGCATTTGCAATGGCAACAACATGTCCAATTAAAAAGTTTAAAGTTTGTCCTGCATGTGCACTGAGCTAACTCCTCATGCTTTAGTACTTTTGTTAATTTGCAGCACCATAGGTTATAATTTTGGCTATATGTACTTTGTATGTTTTTTAACCTCCACAAGGACATTTTGCTTTGTTCCATTTGTTTGTTTGTCTTTTGTAAGTCATATATGGAAAAAAGAAAAAAGAAAAAAAAAAGAAAAAAAGGTTTGGCTTTATTGAATGTACCTTAGACAGCAACTTGTACATCACACTGTACAAGTTACATACTGGACCAGGACTGACTTCCAAACTATTTGTGATGTCACAAATCCTGCT